TCAACATCCTTCAGCTCTTCTTCCTGTCACACCTTCCCCTCATCACCTGTGACTCAGGGCTTCACTTCCTACTCGAGCTCTTTCACTAATCCATCTACCTAAGCACCATCGGGTCTGGTATTCCTTCAGTCCTGTGGCAGCTGACTAGCAGGCCCTCGGTTTTATCTTATTAGAGTTTCCGGTAAGTACAAAGAGTTCTTCTCAAATTCACTGTGCAACTTTTGGGTAGAAAGTCTGTCTTCCACTGCCTAAGGCTCCTTAGAGAACTATGAGCAGAATTTGTAACAAAACAGGAACTCAAGAAATATCTGTCTGATGAGGGATGGAGATCATGTCTGAGTCTGCATTTTTAACTACTTCCAGAATAATACTACCCGTAGTCCTTCTAATTTTTGAAAATTATGAGTAAATGACTATGTAATGTGCCTAAAGGAAGGGTGAGCACATGAAGAGCTTAGGGTTATAATAACAAGCTGCTCAGCAGAGTTGCTCTGAAACTTAATGATACATGTTGGTTTTTATGCACATGTTAACAAGCCACAAACAGCGATCAGCTCACACAGTGGCTGTAATTAGTGTTACTTCCATACAACTAGGTCAAGTTTTCAAGTCTGTCTTGTTCATGCCATGGGATGCATACATATGGATTGTTTCCCTGATCCCACATGAAATTAACGCTAACTGAATCAATCTCTCTCTTCTCCCAGGAGAGATTCCGGTGCCCTCTGCCTGGAGGCTGCAGCTTGTCCCCTCTCCAGCCGCTCTGCTCTCCTTCAGAGGCCATCCTAGAAAACCTGGGGAATGAGGGCCCAAACGAGCACAGAGTCTTGGCTGTAGATTTATTTATAAATCAGACGGATAAATCTAAATGGGAATTTTGCTAATATGATTATTATGAAAGTGGTAACCGGGAAAATGTTGCAGGGTGATAACTATTCTTTAAGCCTCACTGGTTCAGAAACTATCTCCACGGAAAAGCAACGCACAGTCCACACTTAAAAGGAAGCCCTGAGCTGGAGAAGTCTTCCTGGGCTGTGTATCACCACTGTGGAGAACGGCGCCACTCTTAGGGCGGCACGGCTTTCACAGGCCACTTCCTTCTCCTTGGTCTTAATTCAACCAATTTGATTGTGGTTACTCACGAGCAGCCAATGCAAACAGCGCCTGAGAGCCGTTCCACACAGGGGCAAGGGCAGCGAGAAAGGCCGGCGTTATCAACATCCCCCGAGGGTCTAGACTGCACCCGGAGCTCACAGCACCATGCACCATACAGCAGGCTTCTGTACCAATCCTGACGAGAGCGGGAGCGGGGAGTGCAGTTTGGGGCAGGAGACCTCTCTCCAGTCTCAGTGTCAGCAAGAGCTTAGCGAGATGCTCTCAACCACCTCGCTCAGGCATTTAAAAAATCAGTACCCTTAGGAGGTTTTTAAAATAATAGTTAATGCAGATAGGAAGGGTCTTTAGTGTAACACATCAAACAATATGAAAGATGAAGGACTAATTCAAGGCCACAGTCACTGGGACATTTCAGGCCCAGATGCGACTTGAGAGAGAGGGAGAGAAACAAAACCAGACACGAACAACCCTGGGTGGGCAGAGAACTCCTGCCAGTATTTCCTCCCTCCTGCCCTTACTCACAGGCTACCAAGAGGGGCATAAGCTGGCATGACCTTTCTAGAAGGGAATGTGGCAACAGTCCAAGATTCTTAAATATGTCTATACCTCTGACCCTATCACCACTGTTCCAGGAATGTCCTAAGGAAATAACCAGGGATCAGGGTAAAGATTTATAAACACAGATGACCATGGCGCTATCACTTATAGTATCAAATAATCACAATCAAAATATCTACAATATAGATAGCTAAATATGTTTAAGAGCATATTCATGATGGAATAGCACACAGGCATTAGAATGTCTTAGAATTTTGAATGACATGGGAAAAACTCATTATAATATAACATTAAAAAGCAGAATTTAAAAATTATGTGTATGTGATGCTGACCACCATTCCCTCCTGCCATGAAGTGGTGAGAGGGAAATTACATAGAATTATCATATACCAAAATATTAACCGTGGTATTTCTGGGAGGATTCTAGGTGATTTTGATTTCTTTTTTATACTTTTGTATTTTCTAAATTTTCTAACATTAGCATATATTTACATACTTTTATGTAAGTGTAAGAATATACTTTTGTGTTTATAGTCTGATTTAAAGCTTACTTTCGAAGGAAAAAGTGGGGATTGGAGGGGCCATCTAAGACCCGGGGCAGGAGGAAGTGCTTCCTGCTCTCCTGTCTAAGGCTACGTGGCTGCTCTCTAGAGTCCTCCCCACTGGAGCTCCTTCCTGTACAGCCTAAGGACCACTGAAATGCTGCTGGCTCACTACTGGTTACCTCCAAGTAAGCCCTCCCAACAGACCTCAGGCCTCTGTGCCCAGGTGCTTCCTGTCTCTCTCTCGCTGGCCCTCAAACTCAACAGACCCTACTTGGGAGTCATTATCTTTCTTCTCAACTCTCCTACCCTCTGGTGTTTCCTGATCAGTACATGGTACTACACCAACCCAGGTGCTGAAACCTGGCCCTGATTCCCTACTTCTCCCTCGATACCTACCCCTGCCCTTCCACATCCAGCCAGGATAGCTGGTCAAGGCTTGACCATTTCCTTCCCCTCCTGGATCTGGAAATGTCTCCCTCCCCATAGTCTCTGTCTATGTCAGGCCCTCTTCCTTTATTTTGCTCTCTTTCGGTCTACTCTTCAAACCACCAGGAAATTCTTTCTAAACCACAGTTCTTATCACGTCACCTCCATATTTTAAATCACTCCATGGCTCCCCTAGCTGGTTCCCACAGACTTCCAGGCCTACTCTGCCTCCTTCCCTAGCCGCTCCCTCTCTTCACTCTGTACCACACGATCTGGAGCAATTGACCACTGCCCAAATGTGCCATCACTCACCCTCCCAGGCCTGTACCAGCAGTTTGCTTGAAATGCTCCTCCTCTCCCTGTTGCCTTCAGAGCCTGATGAGTCCCTCAAGTCTTTTTAAAGCTCTCCCAGACACACTGGCCTGCTGGGAAGCCTGATGCCGAGACCGGCTATCCTCTCGGCACAGCCTTGCTGCGCTGTGAGAGCTGTCGCAATACTTTCCATTCTCTGGGTGGTCTGCTGGCCCCTCCGCTATACCACTGCTTATTCTGCCATCCTTCATTTCCAGCACCCAAGTAATGCCATCTGAAGATGCGCTGAGTGAAGGACTCCGTGACTAAGGGAAGAGAAGCTGATTCTACAAACATATCCAACCACCTGATCAACAGCTTACTCTGGTGCGTAAAAAATGACATAAATAATAAGACCAAAGAAGAGCCAGATATGTCCGTCCTTCTTACCTTGTACCAAATATCACACTGTACAAAAATTAAACAACAGAGAGTTGGAATGCTCATTTCTTGAAAACAACTGTGCTGGAGAAAAGGAACAGAAACATTCTTAACTATAATTTATAAATGCATGACTCAACAGAACTTATTGCTACAGACAGCAATAGGGGTGGGGGGAGAATGCTATACTGCTGCATCAGGGGTGGGGGGAGAATGCCATACTGTGGCATCAGAGCCACGTTTGCCACCACGAGCAATCCCCACCCTCAGTGTACCCAACAAGAAGGTGAAGCGGGCATCTCTGCAGATGGGCCAGGGGACATGGGCTGGGTGGGATGAGACCTGGCTGTGAAGAGGCTGCAGAGCTTGCAGAGCTTGCAGAGGTGGGAAATTAGAATCACTGCTCTTTTGGCCTCAGGCTAATTAAAGCTCCCCGACTGGGAACAGGGTAAGGGAACTGGTGCTAAACTGATTTATTCCTCTACTTCTGGCCGCCAGCTGGACCTGCTAAGCATGGTACTAATCAAAGGAATAATTTACTTAATAGCATGAAACCATCCTGAGAGCTAACTTTGCGCAACTGTTCCCATTACTGAGCCGATTCCCCAGTGCAGCGCTGATGAGCTGCTAAGAGCTAACTGGGTACCAGAGCTGAATTTCATTTAAGCAGGGTCAGTGAACCATGGACCACAGGCCAACTCCAGCCTCCCACCTGCTTCTGTACCGCCTACAAGCTAAGAATGGTTTTTACATTTTTAAATAAATGTAACATAACTAAAGAAAGAATACTACTTTGTGACATGAAAATTATATGAACTTCAAATTTCAGTGTCCTTAAAATGTTACTGGAACACAGCCACACTCATTTGTTTGTTTGCCTCTGGCTGCATTCACACTACAACAGCAGAGCGGAGTACTCGAGACAGCCGTTTGGCCCACAAGCCTAAGATATTTACTATCTGCCCTTTAGAGAGAGTCTGCAGACCTCTGACTTAAAAGCTGGCTAGGCCAAGGTCATCCATAACAGCATTCCACAGCAGCCTGGATCCCAAGGTACTAAACACAGAACACAGGCTCTGCTCTATAACGTAATGAGGACAGAATTCCTGGATCTTAACAGTCACCGACTGTCGGACATGGCCACTCGGCCAGGTTTGAGTGACAGCTGCCTAAGTCTCACAGGGCTGTGGCACGGCTGTGCCACTCCAGAGCGATCAACGCCATGCCGGGCTATCATTTTCCCCACAGCCAGCATTCTACAGTCTCCCGGGCTATGCTTCCTCAAGCACTGACCTGGAATTTGTAAACACATAACTCTTCTGGGAAGACAGGGATAAGAAGAAATACACAGCCCTTCCAGGTTAGGCCAGCTGGGAGCTTTGGTCTCTCAGCCACGCACACAGACGCCACCCTTTGCCTGGGCTCACTACGTGAGGCCTCACGTGCCCTGTGGTGCTAGGAGGGGTCAGGAGTCAGTTTCTGCCCACCTCGAGGAACAGGGTTTCAGTGTAGTGACTGGGGAAAGGAAGAGGAAAAGCCAGACTGCCACACTGAGTCACATGCACGCTGGGTTCAGGCACAAGGCAAGTCTGTTGGCTGCATTGAATAAAGGAAGCAACTGACCTGATCCAAACGAAGTGCGCCGTCCAAAAACCGCTGTTTGCGTAGCTCCTTCGCAATCCTGTGCAGATTCAAGACGGCCTGGTGCACCTCCTCGCTGGTGTGCTCCGGGGAGATGGGGGGCAGCTCCTGCTCAGGGATCATCTTAGTCGGGCTCTCAATCATGCTCTGGGCATGCTCGTAGCTCAGTTTGGTGCAGGAGCGGATGATGGTCCGGCCAAACCACTCACTAAGGATCTGCAGAAGGACAGATTGTGGGGAGAACAGCTTTCAGGCTTCTCTTACATGTGACCATTCACTCACGCATACTCCACAGAGACCTCCTGAGCACTGACTCTTTGCTCAAAATGGGGTGAGATTCCGGCTGGGCACAAAGGCTGATCCGACGAAGAAGCCGCTACCCTCCATGAGCTCAGCCTCTCAGACACGGACTGAGCAGGCACAGAGTCTCCAGAGGTCTCCAGCACAGGGGGCTCGGGCAAGGCCAAGCAGGAGACTGAGGCAAGAGGCCTGATGGAGACTTTTTCATTAGTTTGGGTGAGTGGTCATCAATGTCAGAACTGGGAGAGAGAAGAAGGGACAGATGCCAAAGATGTGGGGAATCTGTAGGCTTGGTAATGGATCCAATGTGGGTGAGGGGAAGGCGGGTCCTCTGACAGAAACAGAGAGCAGGATAGAGGAGAAAGAAAGCCAATTCCAACTTGTTCTCTTTGGGGCACTAATATAGGGACAAAGGCCCAGAACAGGGCTTCTCAACCTCAGCACTCTTGGGCTGACTGATTCTTTGTTGTGGGCTGTCCTGTGCACTGTTAAATATTTAGCAGTATCCTTGACCTCTACCCATTAGGTGCCAGCAGCACCTCTCCCCAGCCCCGAGTTGACAACCAAAACCATCTCCAGACCTTGCCAAACATCCTCTGGGGTCATCAGCCCAGGCTGAGACCTGCTCGGCTTGCAGTAGACACAGCTGAGTTGAGTGGTGGTACCCAGTGAGGGTGGGGTTACCACTGATTTGTCTTTTATACCTTCAGTTTGTCTCTATTTCTATAATGAGCACTCATCACTTTTAAAACAAAAATAAAATAACCCTTAAACTACCTGAGGGACTCCTGAGTCTGAGATGCAGGGAGGAGGCTGGATGGGGCTATGGAGCAGGCAGTCGGGTGTGGCCCTGGGGCAATAACTGCTCTGGAGGTGGGGAGATGGCCTCATGGACCCAAAAGAAAAAGGCAAGTAAAAAAGTTGAGGCTGCAGTCTCTACCAGCTTCTCCATATCAGGGAACAAAAAGAAAAGCTGGAGGGTGAAGACAAACAAAAACGAGAGAGCTGGCAGACAGGAGGAAACCAGGAGAGCCTGATGCTGGGAGAGCAGGAGATGGGCCGTGGGAAAGGGGGGCTCAGATGCAGCAGCAGACACGGCATGGCACAGTGATGGGCAGGCTGGTTCTGCACTGTCCACACAGCAGCTCCTGACCCAGCAGCAGCCGCCTGAGGCCACTTTATTCTCGCCCTGCCCCGCACTGCCCCCAGAACAGTCTTCCTAAAGACTATTTAGGAAGGGTAGATTTTCAGACCTAGCCTCATCCGGCCTCCTCCCTGCACCTCAGACTCAGGAGTCCCTCAGGTAGTTTAAGGGTTATTTTAGTTTTAAAAGTGATGAGTGCTCATTATAGAAATAGAGACAAACTGAAGGCATAAAAGACCAATCAGTGGTAACCCAGCCCTCACTGGGAACCGCTGCTCAACTCAGCTGTGTCTGCTGCAAGCCCAGCGGGTCTCAGCCTGGGCTGATGACCCCAGAGGATGTTTCGGAACCCAGTGAGGTTTTATTATCCTCACTCCGCAAACAAGGAGACTAAGGCACAGACACATGAAGTGACCAGCTAGAGAACAGGTGGCAAAGCCAGGAACTGAGCACAGGTGGTCGGGCCCCAGAGCCTGAGCTCCTGACCACGCGCTTGTCAGATGCCACCTGGAGGACTGGGGGTGAGAACAAAGGAAAGTCCCTGTATTGAGCATGTGCTTACTGGTGATCTTTGGAAGACTATTCTAGAGGGAAATGTGGGGCAGGCTGTGTAGATCTCAGGCGCATGCTACAGACGAATTCCAGAGATGCTGTCACCAGGCAGCCAGAGCTCTGCCTGCCACCAACCCCCCCCCCCNNNNTGTGCCATTCAAAGAGCAGCATCTTCTGCATGAGGCAAGTGGAAAAACTTGGGAAGCACAGGGTTGAGGACAGGTGGATGGCTAGCAGCGAAGGCACCGTGGATGGCTGGCTCTGCAAGGACCGGAGAGCAGAGCTGCCGCTGTGCAGAGCAAGGGGAGAAGCCAGTACAGGAGGACTGACAGTGCGGAATCACGGGCCCTGGGCCACAGGCCGGGCAGGTGGCCCATCCAAGAGGGAGGAGCAGGGGCCTGGAGGGGAGGCAGGAAGGACAGGGAGGAGGCCTGGGGGAAGAAGAGGCAAGCCAACATTGCTAGGTCAGATAGCCCCAAGCTATGGAGTCAAGTAGGAGGCAAGGGTCTGAGGAAAGTGGAAAAGCTCCGAGATCAATGCCTAGGGAAATGTGACTCACGAGCAAGGCAGGACCAGGTGCGCTTGGAGGAGTCAGGACGCACAGGTCAGCGAGAAACCCTTCAGCCTGAGCTGGCAAACACCCCCTGCCCTCCTTCCCACTAGCAGAACCATTCTGCTGGCAGCCTCGGGGGAGGGGAGAGCCAGTGCAGAGGAGCTGTCGCCAGTGAGAATCTCGGGGGCCACAGCTCCTACCGGGGAGGCTAGAGAGCCGCCTCTGACACCCTTGCCTTCCCTTGAGGAAGGGCCAGTACTCGGAAAACGGCAGCCAGGGCGCACAGGAAGAGAGGCAGCAACTGTTCATATTTTTCTTTCATTCAGTGCAAAGAGCCTTATTATAACAAAGTCTTGGATCCGTAATATCAGACTTTAACTTTTCTTAAAATAAAAATCCTCAAACTATACTTTCTGGATGATGCCAAGAACTCCTCCTCTCCAAAAACACCTGCGATTCAAACATCACGCTCCTGACCCTTCCGCTGCAGCCAGTGGGTCCCGGGTGGATGTGCAGCAGGGGTATGTACGCTGCGTGCAGGAGGAACTGTAGAGCCGGCCTGGGTATCACCCAACATCCTAGCAGGGAAGGGGCGCCACAGTCTCCAGGAGAGACCTTCCCAGGTCAGCCCAAATGTGCCCTCCCTCACCACCACATTTCCTGAAAACTCCCGCTTCTGGGTTGCTCCGATCTCCTCTAGAATGACAGGGCCACGGCCTATTGGTTCTTGTGGTCACAAAGTTTCCCCAGGGATTTGGCTTGTTTCCTTTTCTCCGTTTCATTCCAAACCCAGTTAGTTCCCCACTTCTGTGTGTCCACATCTTGTCTGACGATCTGTCTTTGGCAGCTTAGGGAAACTTTCCTTCCATTCTACTCCACCCCTCCCCTTCACACAAGTTACAGGTCGTCTCGCAGGTCCGCTCAGGCTTCCAGGTCACAGGATATCTGGTCTCCTAGAGTCTGTGTCCCTTTCCCTAGAGAATACAGGAAACCACTGCATACATACGTACACAGCTCACCACACCAGGTCAGGGAGACTCTACCATGCCTGGGAATCCATTTTCATGTAAACTGCTGGGTTAAGAATTACTTTAAAAACCTAATGAGAGTCACAGATACAGAGGACAGACTGATAGTTGCCAGAGGAGAGGGGGTTTGGGGGGCTGGGTAAAAGAGGTGAAGAGATTAAGAAAGTAAAAATTGGTAGTTACAAAATAGTCATGGGGGTATAAAGTACAGCACAGGGAATATAGTCAATAATATTGTGGTAACTATGTATGGTGCCAGGTGGGCACTGGACATATTGGGGGGAACATCTGGTAAAGTATATGATTGTATAATCACTATGATGTACACCTGAAACTAGTACAAAATAATACTGAATAAAACTGTAAAGTTTTTCTAAACATGCTAATAAAATTAAAAAAAAAAAATCTAATGAGAGCTTCAAGCCTTCTCCCATGAAATATCAATGCACAAAATTTGCAGTAAGTTCCATGAGGTTCCTGGGTACCTGCCGCCCCCCAGCCCATGTGTTTGGGCTCTAAACAGAGCTCTGTTGCTCCCTCTGGACCCAGTGATCACAGTGCGGAGCCCTGGCCAGAAGCCACTTTTCATCCTGCCCAGATCTTAACATCTGTTATCTGTAACCTGGCAAAATCAGAAGTTTCCACTCCTTATCAGAGCTCCCTAACCACACTCTGCCCGTACTCTGTCAGGTTGAGCCACTTTTTTCTAATGGGCACCTCGGCTCCTTCGGCTGGTTTCCTTACCCGTCAACACCTATCCTAACAACACACAGGAACACCACCAGATCTAGGACTGCGGGGCTGATGAGGAGCTACCTATAATGCCTGCATCCCAGAAAACCTGTGCCGACCTTCTTTCTGAACCTACAAAGGGCTGAAGTGAAAGTTCTGAAGAGCCATCAAGAACTTGCTGGCCCTGTGACAGTGGCCTTGGGCAGCAGAACCTATCCTGCTTTAACACAACCACCCTGACACAGGGACTAAAACATTATGAGGCCAGGAAAACTAGCCTGAAACGCAGCCGAGAGGCAAGGATGCCCCGCAACCTCCCACAGAAGGGCAGCAGGGAAAGGAAGGCCAGGAGCAGGGGCTCCCCAGGGGCAGCACGCCTTAGGGCAAGGGAGGAAGGCCTTCTGGAAGGAACACCTCATTAATTTCCAATTTGGAAGCTGTATTCACATCAACGCCCTGTCCATAACCAGGCCAGTGGCAGAAGACAAAAGGACAAAGCGTTTTTCATGGAAAAAGTGAAAAAGCCACGAGGAGCTTCATAAACAAACCCTCAGAGAGAAGATCATGTCCTTCCTCTTTGCTTAATCACAGAATCTGGGGCCTTCGCTGTCTGCAGGCGGCACGCTCCCTGCACTCACTCGCGGACACCGCTATTTAGGACATCAGAGTGAATACTGTGCCGACACCCACTGAAGGCACATGACAAGAAGAAAACCGGGTCATGCCTGGCCGGGCGTGTCTCAGCGGTTGAGCATGGACCTAGAATCCAGGAGATTGAGGTTCAATTCCTGGTCACTAGACATTGCCGGGGTTGTGGGCTCGATCCCCCTGTCGGGGGCGTGTAGGAGGAGGCCGATCAATGACTCTGTCTCATCATTGATGCTTCTCTCTCTCCCTCTCCCTTTCT